AAACCGAGGTAAATTTTTGCGGCCGGAGCTGGTTGTAACCCGAAAAGTTTGTTAACAGAGGCGTTCGTAACCCGAGGTACCACTGTATAATGGTTTAATATATGTTTTAACTTTTTAAATTTTGTAAATTGTTTTAATTGATTATTTTTATTGTAAACCCCTCTGAGTTTTTTAAAATGAGCAAATATAAATATTTTAAATAAATAAAAGTTTAGTGTGTGTGTGTGTGTGTATAAAATCTTAAGATACCTGCTATTAAAATATATTAACGTTTCATGTACACTGGCATGTAAAAAAGTTCTTCTGATTCCAAACAAGTAGTTTAAAAACAAGAGAGATTTAATAAGGAGCTGCTGCTGAAAGGAGCGCTTTAGACATTCATTTTTAAAAGAAAAATTCTGCTACCTGAAACCTTATGAAGAGGACTGAGTCAACATAATTCAAAACATTTTTAGTGGAAGAGATCCAATCTCAGCCCCTTCAGAAATCTATGGAAACCTTTCTACATCTTGTTGGAGAAACTTGACAATTAAAGAAGTTAGAAAGGATTGTTAAAATGGGCACTGCCTGGGAGAGAGGGGTGTGTGTGTGCCTGCTGAGACTGCTCAGAAAAGGGTACAGGATTTCATTTTTGATGCATTAGTTTAGCCCTCTATTGTCAGTGATGTGGGAGTGCCATTATAGTGACATTAAAAAGGATAGTTCAGCAATGCTTCAGATTCAAAGGCAAAAAAGTGTTTCAGAGAGTGGAGGGGGGACTTCATATAGCATTTATCTGCAACTCCTTAAAACAACTGTACTTATTTCCTGGGATCATGCATTTGCCTCCCACAGCTGCTCAGTAATCCCGGCAAAGACATGTTCAGCTTCAGGAGTTACATCAGGTATTACGTATGTGTCCACATGAGCTCCAAAGAACTCTTCTGGCTTCAAATCTGAAGCACTGCACATCCCTGTTAAAAAGTAAATGCATTGGTGCTCTCACAAGAAAGGTCAATGAGAAAGGGGAACTTTAAATGAAAGAGGTAGGAATGTATTGGTGATACAACGTTCTCAGAGTCATTTCTATAGCTTTCCACATGAGACAGGGGTCATAAAATACAAAATGGAATCTTTAAAGAGATTTGCTAGCATCCTATTACTCGAATTTGTTTATTTATTTATGCTGTGCCTTCAAGTCAGTGTTGACTCCTGGTGACTGCCTGGACAAGTCCCTGCAGTTTTCTTGGCAAGCTTTTGGAAGTGGTTTGCCATTGCCCGCTTCCTAGGGCTGAGAGAGAGGGACTGGCCCAGGGTCGCCCAGTTGGCTTTCCTATCTAAGATGGGACTACAACTCCTGGTCTCCTGATTTCTAGCCTGATGCCTTAACCACTACACCAAACTGGCTCTCATATTACTCTAACAGCATAATCAAATATAATACTATAGAGGTTCAGTGAAGAGGAGCTTCTAAGATCAGCACCTTTTCTACTTGTACAATTAGCCTGTTTCCTTGCAGTGCAAGTTTTTCATTACATTACATTACAGGCATGTAAGATGTGGAGAAACCCAGGAGGCAGAACTGAAGCTGGCATCCAAATGGTTTTGTGCAACTTTTGGCCAGAAGGAAGTGCTCACAGGAAAACTGTGGAGAGAACAGTTGAAGAAAGAACAGTGGAACTGAAAAGGGCTTGAACAAAAAATTGGGCCATTTCCATTTGGAAGAACAACTGAATTCGAAAGTTTTAAAGGATCCTCCCCTCCTCCCATACACCCACACCAGTCTCCCCTCCTTTTTAAAAAAAACATTAAAGAGAATCATGAGAAAGAGAAAAGTCCGTGTTCATAACTTTGGCTGAAAAAGAAACAATTGTGTCAGGCAAGATTTATGCAGCCTGCACAAGCCAGGCACTACCAAGGAGGAGATCTTGATTGGAGGGCTTGAGACCTGCAACATGTTCCAAACAGAATTCCTCCACTGTACCATGCACTGCTCTTCATCAGGAACTGGGGCAAAGGGAGAGCTTTATACTTGACTTCAGTATAAACCAGTTCAGTATAAATCAGGATTTGGTTCAAGATGAGCCAGAACCAAGTAGGCTCACCTGAGTTTCAGGTACATTTTCTCCCCCGCTGTTTCAAAACATTCATTCCCTTTTTTTATTGATCTTTGGGATGGTGCTTTTTTAGATGGGTGATTACTGGAAGCCAGTGAACGTAGATGGAAGAACACCTCTGGTAATGAGTTTCTAAGCATTTTCCAGCTTTAACAAGCTGCATTTTCAGCTTTGGGTGTTATAATAACCCTGTTATGAATCCCAACAATATTATGTCACCCGGTCATGAAACTGACCACAATAAGCAACTGTATGAATGCAATCAGGGATTTTAAGAGAACAGGGAGGGAGAAAAGTCAGTTCCCTGAAGAGCTGCATACTGTGGCAAAGACATCAGGGAGCCTTTCAGTTACCGTATTTTTCCATGTATAAGATGATACTTTTTCCTAAAATCGTTACACTAAAAATTGAAGATCATCTTATACAAGGAAGTAAGCCGAGGAGAGAACCACGCGGTTGCAAAACTGCCCATACTTTGTCTCTGCAAACAGGCTTCCTCCAATTACGAGCCTATGTAACTGATGTCAGCTGATGCTGAACAAACCAATATGAACACATCCTGTTGGAGGTGGAGACCGTGTAGGCAGTGCGCAGACGCGACAGGGACCGGTAATGTCAGAGCATTCTGAGCCCA